GGAGAGCGCCTTCATCCTCTACAACAAGTACATCACGTAAGCGCCGAGGCCCGCGGGGCTGGAAGAGCCGGATCCGGCCGCAGCCCTGGGAAAGGCTCCTCCGCGATTCCGGCTCCTCCGGGATTCCGGCTCCTCCGCGATTCCGGCTCCTCCTGGATTTCGGCCCCTCCTTGATTTCAGCTCCAGACAGGCGGGTTAGGAGGAGGAGCAGATAGAGTAAAAGGTGCCAGGTAGCAGCAGGGAAACATGAAAAGGACAAAAATGAACGAAAACGAGTGAAAAACGAGCAGTTCCTCGTCCTTTGCGGGACGGATGGGAGAGTTTCCCGAAAAGCCACGCTCGTTCCTCAGTCCCAAAGCAGCGGGAGCTCTCGGCTCCGTGTCCCATGGTCCGTGCTGTTTTGTCACCCCAGAAGGGCTCATTCGGGAGTTTTGTGAAGAGGCTCCTGGTATCCTGCGCCGGGAAGGGGATTGCTCCTTGAAATCCATGATTTCACACTCGTTTGAGGCCTCGTTCACGTCTAGTTTATTAAAACGCAGCGGAGCAGGAGCAGGTTCCTATTCGGAGCGCCAGGAAGAGCCGTGTGGGAGCACAGGTTTCTGTCAGCACCTTGGAGGGGATAACGGGATAGTCACATTTGCACGGAGCCTTTTTTGAGGGGAAAAGGACCGAATCCCATGGAGCTGCTCCTGCTCCAAGAGCACATGGATCCCTTGGGTCCGAGTGCCCTCTCCAAAATCCCTGGATTGGACGAAAACGGGCTGAGCTCCTCCAGCTCCCAGGGCAGGAGCGTTTCCCTGCCCTCTGGGCCGGGTTTTGGGTCCAAAAGCTGCGGAATCAGGAGTGCGGTGACGTTCCCGCGAGTCCTGCTTGGGTCTACGCCTCGGCACGGAGCAAACGTGCCCGTCCGGAGCGGCGATCCTTGGAAAAACATCCCCCCAGCACCCACCATCCTGCCGCTTTAGGCCTTTTTGGGCCAGAAACGCTTCCCTCCCACCTTCCCCCCGTTCGGGTGGCTCTGGAATGCGGCGCCCGCTGCCCCGGCGTGCGCTTGGCATCTCCGCTGGCATCTTCCCTCCCTGCCCCTGCGCGCAGGGTTCCTGCCCCTGAAATCCAACGCATTTTTCTCTGATTAGCTTTGCTTCCCGGCCTTGCACTTCCTGAGCTTTTATGGGCATTGGAGCGAGCTCCTTGGGACGCTGCTCAGGGAGCTGGGAAGTGTAAAACCCTTGGGAAGTTTTCCAGGCTGGTTACGTCGCCGGAGCCAAAGGAGAAAGTCTTTTTTTCCTAGCTAAACAAATGAACTCAGCGCACCTTGGCCGCCTCGGAGCGCGCTGCTTCCCTCCCAGCTGCTCCCGGCGTTCCGTGAAGGCAAAAACTCCCTTTTTAACCCCAACACCCTGTTCCCCAAATCCTACCGATCCCACTTGTACCCAAAACGGCCCTTTGGGAGAGGGAGATTCCAGCTGTTCCTGCCCTTCTGCCTCCTTGCCCTCTGGCTGCCGGAGCATCCCCGTCCCGCTGCCCGTTTTCCCCCCTTTTTCCCTCTTGGAAACACAGCTGCTTTCCCCATCCTTCCCAGGCCGGCATCTGCTCTTAATCCGCCCTAATTAATTCCTTCCATTGGAATCCGCAGGCTCTTGGCAGCGCCGCAGCCCGGCACAGTGACCTACTTTGCCACGGCCGCCGGCCGGGCCCGGAGCATCCCTGCGGTATCCGGCAGCTCCCGAGAGCGCTTCCCGGGCCCGGAATCCTTGGATTTGGAAGCGGCGGGGTTTATTCATCCCGGACACTTGTTTTTAGCCCACCTGCAAGTTTTGTTTCCGAGGGCCGAGCTCGTTCCCTCCGTTTGCTGGCGCAGCAGGACGTGAGCCCTGAGTCAGCCGCGTCCTTGCGTTTGCCCGCGATCCCTCGGGATGCTCCCGGGGCCGTGGGCAGGTGCACCAGGACCTTCCCAAGCTGCTGCCGGAGCGCTCTGTGTTCTGTTTATTAATGTTACATACTAATGTTAAAAGCAAACGTGTCCCTGAGGGTCGGATCCGAAGCCCAGGTGCAGGAAGGGTCCCCGTGCAAGGTGCTCCGTTGGGACTGAGCTGGATCTCCCATGGGAAGAGCTCGGGATGCGATTTTTGCAGCGAGGCATTCCGAAATGATCCACAAAATCCCAAGGAAACCACCTGCCCCCCCAGCCACCGTTTGCTGCTCCGTGTGGGCCCCTTCCCAACGTGATCCCAATCCCTCGTGTGTTCCCAGGCTCTTCATCGAGAAGCTGCCCAAGCACCGCGACTACAAAACCGCCCTCATCCCCGAGAGGAAGGAGACGGTGAGAGTAAGTGATGCCGCTCCGGAGGCTCCCGGAGACGCTGGAATCCCGGAATTCGCCCCGTTCCTTACCCGGCGAGCGCACGCCGCCGCCGCCGTTCCGAGCTGGGCGCTTTTCCTTCCTCCAGAAGCTGAAGGAAGTGGCGTTCCCGAGAGCGGAGGAGCTCAAGAAGGAGCTGCTGAGGAGGTACGCGCAGGACTACGCCGCGTACAGCGCGCGCAAGGTGAGCGCCTGGAACCCGCGGGGGGGCGCGACAGTCCGTCAGCGCCAGCACG